AGCTCTCTTAGGGTTCTCTCAAGGGACTGGTAGTCGCAATGGGAGGCTATAAGTGCCCTTAAATAGGCTCCAAACCCGGAGAATTAGGGTTTCATTAAACAGCGTGAATTCGCCGAGTGCACTCCTTGGACTCGCCGAGTCCAGACGCGAATCCTCGCCCAAATCGCGATCCTACTCGGCGAGTTTGAGCTCCAACTCGCCGAGTCTCCTCACAAAATACTAAAAATATAAGAATGAATAATACCTGGGAATCCGGGTTGTTACATTTTGGTTGTATATTCAATGAGATATAGGCCCTTAAACATGGGGTATTAAAGTTGTGGTTTTTTTTTAACTAACTTATTTTATTTGAATAGATCCTACATATGTTCGAGATGTTGTGTCCCCCGTAGAAGAAGATTTCAAAATTTGTAGAGCTATGGTTGGATTTTTCGAGAAATTCAAGGTAAAAACCGACATAATATCGACGTCAACGAAACCTATGGCACATCGCTTTTTTGCAGAAATATGTGATGTGTACAAGCACATTAAAGATTGGGTGTCAACTCCCCACTTTTGCTTGAATAGGAAGGATATGATTGACAAATATGATTTTTGGATTTTTGGACTATGAATTATGGATTTTTGGAATATGAATTGTCAATGTTTAATGTTTAATTTTTTTATTTGGGTTATTCGGGTTATTTAGATAATTTTGGTTGATTTGGGTTATTCAGGTTATATACGTAGTGTTAATTTTTATTTGGGTTATTCGGGTTATTTGGGTCATTTTGGTTGATTTGGGTTATTCGGGTTAAAAACATAGTGTTAATGTTTATTTGGGTTATTTCGGTCCTTTCGGGTTAATACCCGAACCTGAACCGGACCGGTCCCGTATTAGTATTTTCAGTTCGGGTTTCGGTTCCTATTATTCATCCAATTTGGGTTTCGGGTTATTCGGTTTCAGGTCGGTTCCGGCCCGAAGCACATCCCTATCCACAATTTATGTTTTATTTCTATTTGAAGTCTTGAGCCAGGTTTTTTAGGCCTGATGTTTTTTGGGACCGGTCGCGGTCTCTTTTGGTCCAGTCTCGCAGTCGTTTTCTGTTTTTTTTTTGTTCGGTTTTCAGATTTTTTCGGTTCATTTCGGTTTTTTTTTTTTTTTTTTTCAATTTTTGGATTTATGTTTCGAGTTTTCCGTTATGATTAACACCAAAATGATATATTAATATTTATTGAAAATGGTATACTTGAGTTTAGCAAAACAAAAAAAGGATAGAAGTTAGATAACGTGTGATTAAAATTTGTGTAATTACCACAAAAATGATATGTTGATAAACTTTAGTTATCGGTTTTTTTAGACCAGTCTCGCATTGGTCTTGTGTCGGTTTCGGAACAGTGGTCTCGAAACGGTCCGATTTTTTTGGACCGGTTTCGATCAGGTCTTTTACCGTTCGGTCTCGTTTTAGAATGGTTTGGTCTTAATCTTTTTTAAGGTCCGGTACAAAACCGGTCTTTTTATGCGGCTCTTAAGTCTAAACCACGCATGTCGAACGTCGAACAGGACCCCTCCTTAGCAGATTGTTATATTTTCCTAAAACTGGGCTTCTGCCCATTGTATAACAGCAATACAAAGTTACAAACTTACAAAGCTTTTCCAAGCTTTCATATTGCGCAATTAAATCTCTAATTCCAATATCAATTAATTTTGAGTAGCACTATTACTAGTGTAGGACCAAAAAAAACATAAATTAAGCTTCTTTAAAATTCAAGAAAATAGAAAAAAAAATTTCAAATTTAAAATTTAAAATTGCTAAGGAAAATTGAAGGGTCTGCAATTTTTCGTTCATTTAATTAGATTGATAAATAAAAATAAAATACTTTTTATCATAAATAAATTCCAGATTTCCAGTTTATATTAAACTATATAGTACCACACGACAGTTATGCACCAGTTAAAAATAAATCATAAATTAAATTTTGAGAATCATAAAAAATGATGACACAATATATGTAGAATGACAACATCATTTTCATGGATTAATGTTTCGAATTATCGTCAAGATTGACTTATTAACAAAGAATTAATCAATGTTTATATTTTTATAATAATATAAAATGTGTAAGGGTTTTCTTTAATTAAAAGCTTATGCTGCAAAAATATACCTTATTATTTGATAAAAATTAAAAAAAAATTATTTTAAATTAGTAATAAAGAGTTGTTAGCATTTATAAATAAACAATCATATCCATTAATTAAGTCTCTTTATTTTATTCAAACTACTAAAAAAAGAGAGAGGGAATAGGATTGACAAGTGCATATTACATTTGGAAGCTATATATTATGGCTTTTTTTAATAAAATAACAAAGATTGTTAATAAATAACATGTTGTTCAAAATAAATAAATAAATAACATGTTCTGCTTATTTAAAATTTAAAATTCGTTTTTATAAAATATCTCATCCATTTAATTATGATTAGTAACATAAAATTGTCAATATTGATTTTTGAAAAGTAAGAAAATATATTTTACATGGGAGATTTTAATTTATTTTTATAAGTAAAAAATATGTTCGTTCAATTTTCTGTTAAAAGGAGATAATTATAGTTGTCTTCCCCTCTCTTTCTCCCTTGCTACATCCCAATCCCAATCCCTAATAATCTCCATACTTTGAATCGATAAATTCGTGTTAATCAATCCTTCCTCTATCCTTACATCCAACTGAAAAACCTAATTCTGCAGATGCTTTCTATTTCTGGATCTCTCTCTTTTCGGATCTCTTATTCCTTCAATCTAATCAACAAGGTACAATCTTTCTCTTTTTGATATTCGGTTTCTCTTCTTTTAACTGATTCTTATTCCAAACTGGATAATTCCTTAACTTATACTCCTTTTTCTTTCCCTAAATCGTGTAAGGGTTTCAATTGGTTGATCGATTGCTACAACGAGCCTGTATAGATTATTCCATATACATATGGGTGTAGATGCATAAACCGTGATGAAGTAGAAGTTGACACAGGGAATACGATTGAAAGAGAGTTTGATTCTTCGGATTAGGCTGTGGGAAATCTGTAAATATGTTTAAGATCATTAAAGGGATGAAAAAGGGTTCGAAACCCGAAGTGATTGAACCACCTCCAGGACCTAATGCTCCATCTGATGTGACTGTAAACCATGCTTCACGTTCGGCCATACCCCCTGCTCAGCTCACCAACACAAAGTCACAGGCTATCAGTCGAAACCCTGCACCTCAGACTGGTGTGATCGAGGTAACACCTTTGTTGAAAGACGTCCCGATATCTGAACGACATGTGTTATTTATCAGAAAGGTGAGTATGTGTTCTGCTTCTTTTGATTTCTCTGATCCATTGAAGAAAGTCAAAGAGAAAGAGATCAAAAGGCAAAACCTACAAGAACTTGTTGAGTTAGTCCAGTCAGGTTCAAGTAAGATGAACGAGATCATGCAGGAGGAGATGATCAACATGATTTCAGTGAATATCTTTCGTGCTTTACCTCCTCAAGCATTTGAAAACACCGGAGCCATTGATGGTGACCCTGAAGAAGATGATATGTACTTAGAACCTTCATGGCCTCACCTGCAACTTGTCTATGAGTTGCTTTTAAGATACGTGGTGTCACCTGATACAGATACTAAAGTAGCTAAACGATTTATCGATCATTCATTTGTTTTAAACTTGCTTGATATGTTTGATTCAGAAGATCCAAGGGAAAGAGAGTATTTAAAGACCATACTCCATCGTGTATATGGGAAATTCATGATTCATCGCCCCTTTATAAGAAAGGCAATAAATAATATCTTTTATAGGTTTATATTTGAAACAGAAAGGCATCCTGGGCTTGGTGAATTATTGGAGATTCTTGGAAGTATAATAAATGGTTTTGCTGTTCCAATGAAAGAAGAGCATAAGTTGTTCCTTGTGAGGGCACTTATACCACTTCATAAAGCCAAATTCATTAATTACTATCATCAACAGTTATCTTACTGTATAATTCAGTTTGTTGAAAAAGATTATAAATTGGCTGATATTGTGATTAGAGGGTTACTGAAATACTGGCCTGTTGTTAACTGTGGTAAAGAGATTCTGTTTCTTGGTGAATTGGAAGAAATTCTTGATGCAACACAACCTGCAGAGTTTCAACAATGTATGATTCCTCTTTTTAGACAAATTGGACGCTGCATTAATAGCCCTAATTTTCAGGTTTGTTATTACTTATTTATTACTCATAGTAATCTTTTTATATCAAAAAAGTTTGTTGATTTCAAGATGACTTGTAGGTTGCAGAAAGGGTGCTTTTCTTGTGGAACAATGAACATATAGTGGACTTGATTGCACAGAATCGAGACATCATTTTACCTATCCTCTTTGAACCCTTGGAGAAGAACATCAGAGGTCACTGGAACACTGCTATCAATGGATTAACTGGAAATGTAAGAAAAATGTTCATTGAAATGGATTCAGACCTTTTTGAAGAATGCAGTAATCAGTTCTTGGAAAAAGAAGCCATGGCCAATAAAATGCTTGAGAAACGTGAGTTGACTTGGAAGAAACTTGAAGCAATTGCATCAGAAGGTGGAGGTGATGATATGGTTATGGTTAATTAAATTACGTTTTTTTTTTTTCCGTTTTTACCCTTTCTCCCACCTGGAGTTCTTCTTGCTACTTTCTAACATCCAAAAGGGCAGAGGTATGAGTCATTTTCTCCTACAGCCTAACAGAGCACAACGGTTTGCTCTATTTTTTTTTTCTTTCCATGTTTGCCCTTTTAGAGTAATTGCTATTTTTGTTGAAATAGAGTTATTGGGTTGTTGATAATAAGTAAAGGTGGTCATGATGTTAACATCATCATAGGGATGTTTTCAAATTCTATAACTTTCTGTTATTGTGGTCAAATGAACCACATGCCATATTTTTTTGTGAATACAAATTCCTATCAATGGTTATATCTCAATTATCTACACATAATTTGTCATACTCTTTAATACTCACTAGTGAAAATTAACAATACACTGGAGTCATTGTCATGAACAGTGATAATACAACTAGTGAAGACAAAAAAATGGTGGTTGGTATTGATGAGCGTGCTCCACCTGAAATCCTTCTACTGCCGGGACCGCCACAAAAAGGTATCATCCCGGGACCACTACCTTGTAGCACGCCAACTGGTAGTGGTGGTGATCCTGGTATAAACCCATACTCAGCTCCTGGGTTTATATCAGGATCACCACCACCACTACCACCTTGTATGTTGCCGGGAACACAACCGGCACCATAAGGTGGTAGGATTCCTGGAGAGAATCCGGCACCATAAGGTGGTAGGGTTCCTGGCGGTGGTTTCTCGCCACTTGGTTGACCAACAACAGGTGGAGTGATCACCGGAGGATCTGTGCCATGTGGTGTGATCCCACTCGGAGGATCTTCACCTACACTACTGCAAAACAAATAATAATAGAACAAATAAGAAAAAGAAAAGAATAAAGTAAATAAATTTGACACGTAAATTCAAAACATATACCTCGGGGCGCCTACAACTACACTACTGCAAAACAAATAGTAATAGAACAAATAAGAAAAAGAAAAGAATAAAGTAAATAAATTTGACACGTAAATTCAAAACATATACCTCGGGGCGCCTACAAGAACACCAGCATGCCTAGTTAGTTGGTTTATAAGGTAGGCTGACATTGGTGGAACACTCGAGGCCTTGGCATACTGAACCTCAAGCCCTGCACCCGAAGGGACAAAAAATGCACCGTTTACCATCAAATCACCTTCCGACCTCCAATTCCACCCCTTCCATTCGTCACCTTTCGCATTCATTCGCTTTGTCACCTGTTAAATAAAGTTGCACACAAACAGGGTTTGTAAAACAAAATAGTCCGACCTGTTGTATATTGTACTAAATAGTACGCAAAGCAATTATGTACCTCTCTACGATCATTAGCCATGGCAACAAAACGGTTGCCCTGACTGTTAATGGTGGGAGCTGCGCTCCCACCAATGGCATACAATTTCCATTCGGTATAATCGTTGTTCACAACATGGAAATAACCATGTCGGCATCTTGGCATTCTCTCCACTAGCCGTTCTCCGAAATGATTGAATGCAACTGTCACCTATTCAGGTAGTTACTATATATAAGTCTTGCTATGTTTATAGAATATAAAATATGATAACTATGATAACAATGATAACAACTTACTTGCATTCCCGCATCGGCTAGATAATCATCTGAATGACCTAACAACATGACCTTATCATGCTCTGTGAAATAGCAGTTTGTTATAGTCACGGCGGTGGACCCCTCCGTGACATCAACCAATCCGTCTGTACACCTGGCAAAAGAACAATGGTCAATCCACAAATTCCTCACCCCCTTGATCGTCAACCCATCACCATCCGTTTTCCCACGGCCCACAACATCCGATGGACTCACCCGTATCTTAGCATTCCCGGAGGGCTGACAGTCGTGAACATAAATCCCATGAATGATAATATTCCCGACATTCTCAATCACAATACACCCTTTCCCGGTAACATGGACAATGGCCCCACGTCCATCGATGGTCTTTGAACTGCTGACAATGAGCTCGTTTTGAAGATTTATGTGCATGTCTTTTGCAAATGTGATCCAAAGAGGCTCGGTTTGTATGACTGCATGTCGGAGTGTCCCCGGAGGTGGGTTTTGAGGGTCATCGGAAGAATCGGTGACGATGTAAAAGCGGCCTCCTTTGCCCCCCATTGCTCCTTGACCAAATCCGATAGCACAGTCGGCGAGACGCTGGCGATTGTTGACCCAGTTTGGGTCACATCGCCAGCAGTCGTCGACTGGGTTGCCAGTCTGGCAAAGAGTTTGATCTTTTGATTGGGTGAATAATGGGTTTGTATCGAGCAATCTTCTTCTTGAGGTTATTGAAGCATTTAGTTTTCTGTACAAGGGTCAAGAAACATAAAAAAGTTAACTTTTTTGTGAAATATATAAAATAAAGAAAGAAACCCAGATTATATAATATGGCATTAAGCAAAACCCAGATGGGAGTTTTCTTGAATCCTACATTTAGATGGATTATGGACTATGGCGGTGCTTGCTGAGCATACCTTTGAAGTTGCAGAACAATGGCTTCTGGGTCAGGGTGTTGATGAGGGAGGTGTGCCCATGTTTTAATGAGAGTTGAAGTTAGAAAAGTTAAAAGCATGTAAATGAAGAGATTAGTAGGAGCCATTTCTTGATGAAGATGCTCCTCCTTTTGAAGTTTCGTACGATATGATAACAAGGCATCGTGTCTTGTTTATATAACTATGAGAAAATCAAATATTTTAATTGAATTATTCGGGAGATTTTTGATCATTAATTGAATTACAAGTAAAGAAAAAGATTTCGGTGTTAATTAAGTGATAATTTTCTCTCTCCCATGCATATTTCCTTCAAATGTATTAACATTCTTATCTTGTTAACAAATTATCCTTCGTATATGGAGTGGGACGAAAATTATGACAAATGGGAACAGAATCGAGGTAAATCGATTTTACATTTTGGTAATGATTTAACGTATCACGTATCCTTGAAATGTATCTTTCATATATATGCACATACACACATATATACATATATACATATGATATACACATATCTTTAAGCAATATAAAATATATATACATTTCGAATGCAATCATGATTCATATCTTTGCCAACTTTGATCTTTTTCATGTCATGTTTTTCTTAAGTAATTGGACAGATTTAAATAATCTACCGAGTGGATCTCGTGTATTGTATGTCATTGAGGTTTCATTGTTTCAATTGCAAATTATATATGTATAATATACCATATAAAGCTAAATAAGTAATGTTCTATCAGAATATATCGTCATACATACATGATTACATGTATGGTGAGACGTATTTGATCTGCAAAGATTTTATATAAAATATAAAATATTTAAAATGTAAATATGAATTGGGATTTGGTTTTGGTTTTCGTTTCTAATTGGTGGAATTTGGCGGCTGTGGATCAAAGATTCTTTGCGGGAAACGAAGTATGTTTCTTGATTCAAATATTCCCATTTGCTATTTGCTATTATAATTTAATTTATACTCTTTTGTAATGGAGGGAAATTTATAAAAGGAAAAAAGAAAGGTAATTTTGAGGATACCAAGTAGATACCAACTTTTGACAATCTAATTGTGACATTGCCCCTAAATTATGGCCGTTTGAAGGGAGACGTTATTTTTGACTTTTATGTTATCTTGTCTGTTAATTTTAATTTACTTTTTTAGATAAACGGGATATATATTATAACAGTCCATTATATCTTCAAATTTTGAAAATGTGTATTCAATGTTTCGTGTTGAAAACAATTAGTTCGTTAGTTTATTTAACATTTATAACAAGGGATAATTTACATAATTACATTCAACATGTTTCATGTCAATGGCGAAGTTTAGTTTCTACTGACTTTTTAGCCTAAATTATGGATAATGATGGTTTTGCCTTTGGTCTTTATGGTTCTTGGATCGTCTTTGAGAAATAGTTGATAGTACATTATGTTTTTTGTAAAAAAAAATAAAAATAAAATAAGGGTATTGGTCATATATAACAATATAAGTAATGTTTTCTAATATATGCTTTTAGGTTGTTAACTTTTTCCGTACACAATAAGACTGGTGGGTTTTTTTTTTTTTTTTTTTTTTTTTTTTTTTTTTTTTTTTTTTTTTTTAAATTTAATGGACTCATTAAGGAGATGAGTCGGATGACTTAATTGGCACAAAAACGAAAGAAAGAATAACAGAAGTATTTAAAGAGAAGTGTTTACTGAATTTCAATATGACTAACGGGAGCTGATATATACATTTGTTCATTTTATTCATCTATTTATAGAAAAGTAGTTTTCCTTTTATACCCTTTCCTTAAATCAATAAAATATAAGGAAAAAATAGTTTTTAATTACCAAACATATAGAGAGAAGAAAACGGGTGTTTGTTTCTTTTTTGTTTCTTTTTTTTCATTTCCTCTTTTTTGTTTTCTTAATTTGTAAATTGCTTTTTTATTTCTTTTTGTTAAAAAAATCATTTTTTTCTTTAGTTATCACTTTATAACGTCAATAGTCTATACTAATTTTCATCGTCACCTAAACTTCAAATATTTATGTTTTTAGAACCCTACTGTGTTATGTAAAATCTGAATAAATTACATTAATTTTTAACTTTGATTTTGGTCAATAATTATCACTCGCTCCCTGTCATTTTTTGTTGTATAGACTTGGTTCATATACAAAATAATTAAACCCATGCACTACATACCAAGGAAAGAAACATTGAAATCACAATAATGTTAAAAGAAAGATATCCCAACAAAAGTATTCAAATCAAAATAATGCCAAAACAATGTTATAAAAAATATTCAAATCATTGAAAAAGTTGCATATGCATTTAAATTAAATTAGTGGTTTTCAGACATTTTATTATTTATTTGGAAGATAGAAATAGAAGTGTTTGTGGTGATTCCACAAGCTCAAATTTTGAAGAGTTTCATGCGGTAGAACTTATTCCTTTTTTTTTTTTTGAGGTCTATCCTATGGTCGATGAATCACAGGTTTAAGCAATGTAACGTTCCAAAAATATTATTCATACAAGTCAAAAGAAAATAAGTATCTCAATATCAAAACAATCAAAGTGATATCTCAAGAGCGGAATTCATGTGGTTTGTGCGATGCAGTCAACCCAAACTATTTCCCTTGGAACTGGAAGTACCTAAAACATAAACTAAAAACCATAAGCACAAAGCTAAGTGAGTTCCCTAAATTACCCCATACCATATATAATAAAACACATATTGGGCCCCCGCCTGATATCGAGTCCCACTCAGCCTCGCCCCCCCCCCCCCCCCCGGCTTTGAGCCCCGATCGGTGTATAGATCTGTTATTCTTAGGCCCCGCCCACTATAAACTTAAACATATATCAAATAACCATATTAACACATGCAATGATCATAAACAATAGCATACGATACAGTCAACGGGTCTCGTCCGACATCGAGCCTCGCCCGGTATATATAGCAGCACATATCATATGCAAGGGTCACGTAGACTCCTAGCATCCTAACATAAATAAACAAGGGTTGTCATTGGTGCCTTAGACTCGTTAAAGCAGTGAGGAAACTCACCTCAAATGTTGAATCTCACTGAAAAATCCCTAGTTGTTGCCTTAACGAATCCCCGAGCTATCAATACAAAATAACACCCAATTAACACTTGGGGTTCCAATCTATATCCAATAATCCATACTTGGGGTAAAATGACCATTTATCCCTGACCTAGTTTGAACCAAGGCTGAGGCCCAACCTACAAACCAAAAAGGCTTAAAACCAATTGCTCCTCCAAGGCCCACTTATGGCCCAATTTTCCAAATTAGGCTCAAACCCTATATGGACCTTACCTTGTGGCCCAATAATTTTCCCTAGTCCAAACTCTTAGCCTAAAGCTTGGTTTTAGATGGCTCACTAAAGCCCAAAGCAACAAGGTCCAAAGAAATGACCTAACTGAGGCCCAAAAACTACGAAGCTCAACATACTAAATACGCGGGGCGTACTAAGTTGTACACTAAGCGTACAGGAAAAACGACTTGTACGCCCAACGTACTCACCCAATAAGTCTATATCCATAATAAGCACTTAATGCTTAAGACCAAAAGCTCAAATCACAAATCTAAGTCATAATCAACATCTAGAACCATAAAGTCACTGACTTGGTGACTTTGCATGCTCCAACTTTCATAAAATGGCCATAACTCATGCATGGATGGATCAAAACTTTAAATGTGATAACTTTATGCATCTAGAACCTCAGAAACACCAAGAGTGGTACCTCAAAGCTCCTTGAGTGGTAATACACCACTAAATCCCATTCATAGGCCAAAAAGGGACAAAAACACATACATATTAGATCTACTCCACCATTGATCAAGTTCATAGCTATAACGCCCGTAGATCCGGGCTAGTCAATTTAGAGACGATAAGCATCAAAAATGACTTTTTGATGGAAGATTATTTAGAAGGATTAATCTTAACCAAGTTTTAGTATATGTCACAAGGTTTCTGTGCATATAAAGAACGCCAAAATCCGAGTTATAACGAAGAAGTTATGACCTGTCGTAGTTTCGCGACAGATGCGACACGACCCAGCGCGACCCATCGCGACATAAATAGTGAACTTAAGGTAGATAGATATCTATCCTTAGTGATCTAAACAAGAATTGAAGATTCATTCGATAGTAGTCCAACGATAAAAAGACAGACAAAAACGGAGTTCAGATGAAGGAGTTATGAATTTCGAACGGAGTTTTCCTGTCCCGGCCTACTATAGATATATATAAGTAATATACTTATAATATATTAAAAATAAAGTCAAAATTAGCCAATGGAGTCTAAACGAGAGTTGTAGAGCATAACCTCACCTTCGCAGCGATATAAAGAACGTCGAAAACGGAGTTCGTATGCGAAAGTTATGAATTTCTGAGTTCGGGGCGCGAAACCCGAAAACTATCAGAGACCACGACGTGGCAAGCAGTGCCACGACGTGGCAAGTGTCCTGACACCTCCGGGAGGCCCCCAGATGCAACTTGGGATGACGCATGCAATGACGATCAAGCCCACGACGTGGCAAAAGGATCCCACGACGTGGCAAGGGCCAAATTTGCCCTATAAATAGATTTGAAGGGCCAGCCGACTATGGTTGTTCCATCCCTTCTCTCCCACTCCCGATACACCCTCTAAGCCCTATTTTAACCCCCCGAAGCCCCGGTATCAACCCCGAGACCCGAAGCAAGTCCCGAAGCCCGAAGATCCCGAGAAGAAAAGAGTTTCCGAGCCGAAGCTCTGCCCGCGAGAAACTAGGTGTGTGAAGTGATCCCGGTTTCACCGAAGAATACTACTTCTGCAAGTCGTAGTGCCGTACGATCATCTTCTGATCAAGTGAGTGTATACTACCTTTCATAAACACGATAATAATACAAGTATGGTTTGAGTGTATTAAGTTTATTGTTGTTTATATGTGTGAGTGTGTAGTTACTTTCTTCTAACACATAAATATAATGTATTTGCTATGAAATATGTGCTATGTGTTTATATATTAATTGTCTATATGGGATGGGATTGGAATTGATGTTTTTATATGGGTGTTAAATGATTTAAGCTATATATATAATTTATATCTACAAATATGTTGGGTAGAACATGGGTAGATGAAATAGTTGATGTGT